GTGTGCCTTGGCAGTCACAAAAGTGTTGCGTTTATATTTTTGTTCAGTGTAGATAATACAAATTGTTCATTGTCACTGTTGTTCAGACCTACCTCATCATAGTGGCTTTTGGCGAAGAGCAAGGCACACAGCTCGCCGTACAGCGCTGCCTTGTTGGCCTGGTGGCCATGTTTGGCGAGTTTGTCCATGTAGGATTGAGCGAGCTTGAAGGTCTCCTCCCCCAGGTGGTACTTACAGTTGCCATTACGGACATGAAGGAGCCTGTTTAGACAACAGAGGAAACGTTAATAACAATCTCAGGTGTGACTGTCCAACCACCGATACAGAACAACCATTTTTGAGGAGACTTAACTTTCTGTCAGTGATCAACATTTTTTTTTTTTGTGGTAATGGCATTATTCAAACTCTTTTGACTTTATTGGGAATGTAATGGTGCGTTCACAACGGACGTGTTAACATTTGTTAAGGTCAATGCAAAGATAGAAGTATTCACGCCGGGTGAAGCAAATTATGCTAATTCTTAATGCTAGCTTGTAAAAGTCAATCAGCGGTGAGATTCTCCTCCGTTTTCACTGACATACTGATGGGTTGTTGGATATGGGCAATGGCAGCCAGGGCTCTACAGAATCTTACATTTGTACAGAAACCGGGCCAAATTGATGCTTATAAATGTATGTGTACAAACAATTTACTTTCTATGGTATAACAGATAAAATAGCTACTCCTTTTTTACATGCCATGAGTGTGGATGAACTACAACGGTAGCTTAGATTAGCCTGATCATTCCAATGTCCATTCAGAAAACAAGCATTTTAAAAGGGTCTGCAGGCACACCTGGCCAAAGCATTAATAAAGAGTTTTTACTCATTTGTATCATCATGTCGATTATTCGGCATCCTTTTGATATTTTTAGTGCAATTAAAACATGGCAAAATGTGTTAATTTTGGGTTCATAAGACTGTATTAAACACGATTTACGAACATATTGCATATTTCTTCTGCATTATTGATTTGGTGTCATGACATGAGACCATTACAATTTCAAGCCCACAAAAAAACTACTCCGTCAACTCTGGCGACCATAGGTTTTTTCACACTGACCTGACACAGCATTCTACAGCCCTGAAGCAGTGGAGGACTTCACTCTGGAGCGTGCACAGCTGCAGGCACGACAAAAACACTTTCTCTGCATCTCCATACCAGCCAGCATCCGACAAGAAGCCACCTAAAATCAGATTGGATTAATCAGATTAATAGAGCTGTCTAGGGTCAGAGGGAAATAGATTTAGCATCGAACTGGTGGGTAAAACATATTATCTTTTTTGAAAATACATAAATACAGATTCTATTCATAACAAATCTCCACCCCAACTGTGTGTAGAAGCAACATATCTGTAGAACCTTATGTAGGAGCTCATCCAAAGCGTTCTAACACCAACAAACATCCAGTTTAACTAAGGTTATATTACAGTGCGAGAAGATGTGAAACTGTCTTATCTGTGGAAAGCAGTTTCAAGCAACTGCTCAACAAGCGAGGATAAGAGGCTTGGCCTGGAGTACCTTTCTTGGATAAGAGCCAACAATTATTTCTGGTGTTGCACTTTTACATGCATGTTTTTGGGATGTGTGTCTAATCTATGTATGTCACAATACCAGAAATGTAGAAGTTCTACTTTGTTTTGTTTAAATACACTTTCTTCCTAAATGGCTTAACAGGTCATAATTCTATTTTCTTAACAATTTTCCATTTCCTTTAAAACGTGTTATTTAAACAACGATTATTTAATACGTTTGGGGGAAATCTAAACCTAATAAGATGACATTTGAACACATCACAATGACGTTATACTTTATCTTTGCCCAAAACTAATCTTCACTGAATGTCAATAGCCCCTTCTGTTTCTGCAAAAAGCTTAAATCCAATAATAACTAGCCATACTCTTTATGATTTCACATGGATTTGTGTTGGTTAAAATCGGATTGGTCATAGTGGGTTTATTGATGAAATAGTGACGTGTGTTGATGAGCAAAATGGAGATAGCCGACAGCAAACAGCATTTTTCAAGGAGATTTGAGCTCCAGGGCAAACAAGCCACATTTGTCTGCTTTTAGGACCGATAAAGATAATATAAATGTTAGCGTTTTTATCTGATTTTAACCCAATGAAAAGGACTTTTTTACATTACATGTCGTTTGTTAGACGCTTTTATCCAAAGCGACTTACATACGTACATTCCGTACTGTGGACAATCCCCACAGGAGCCATTTGGGGTGAAGTGTCTTGCCCAGGGACACAACGACATGCTGACTGCAGTGGGACTCGAACCTGCTATCCCCTAATTCGAAGTCCAGCACACTATCCACTGAGCCACAGCCTCCCTTAGTCCCAATCCCCTGTTACCTTTGGTACTTGTGTTACCTACTGTACCTGCAGTACTGTAGAACCAGTACCAGCATATTTTCAAAGTTTGGGCATTGACTTGGTGTGGAAATAACAGTTCTTGTGCCATCCCTAATCTATTCTACTAAATAGTACATCCATAGTAGTCTTACATGCAGTGGTGTAGTCCAGGGTATACGCAGGTATACGGCGTATACCCACTTATTTTTCAGACAGCATGGCGTATACCCACTTCTCAATCACCGCTGGTGCGCATTATTTAGTAGTGGCTCAATGTCATTTCATAGTACTGTGAAGACTCATGACACAAACCTACTCTGCCTCATATTGGCTAACTCTATGCCTTCGCTGGTTAGATTGGTCAGGTTTTCAGCGCGAGAACTGATGAAAAACCAATCAGAGGCAGAGTAGGGCGGGTCTTAATAAGGGAAAAAAACTGCATATAGACAAATGTTAATTTACTTTCAACTATTTGCCATTACAAAAATTGTATGAACTGTTAAAATGAAGCGAGCCATTCAGACTAAAATTTCCTTTTACAATAAATGTCCTTGTGGAACTACATCGGCCAGCAGCTCAGCTACAGATAGTGAGGCTAGAACACCGGAGCTGTTAGCTGATAGCCCTGTTATCATCAGCCCTGATATCAGCCCAACACCTGCGCTCCCTCCGTCCCCCTCATCCTTTGAAGAGGATGCTGACAGGGAAGGAGATGAAGACGACAATAACGGTGGGTGTCTCACTTCTATATTTTAAGATTTTTGTAACAAATCGTAGCTAGGTAGTCATATATACTTNATACATAATATATATCTGATTTGTGAACAATATTTGAGAGAAATGGTTATTTTGTGTATGTAGAAAATGTTTTAGATCTTTGAGTTCATCTCATGAACATTGTTCATGAGATGAACTCAAAGATCTAAAACATTTTCTACATACACAAAATAACCATTTCTCTCAAATATTGTTCACAAATCAGATATATATTATGTATCATTTAGAGCTGCACAATTTGGAAAGAAATGACTTAATGTGATTATACTGACTGATTTTGGTATTTCGATTATAATAAGCATTATTTAAGGAAACAGTATAATTGAAAATACATTAAAATAATATATTTTTAAGTGGTTTTGTAGTTTCTAGTTTTTTGAAAAGGAGTATTTTTTAGGACAAGTATTTATGAATTCGTTTGAATGTGTTAAACCTGCAGAATACTGTTGTAGTCTAGGATATCTCTGCTGCACCACAACTTAAAGAGGCCCTATTGTGCTTTTTGTGGTTGTCCCTTTCCTGTAGTGCGTTATATATTTTGTTGTGCATGTAAATGGTTTGCAAAGGCTAAAATCCCTGTGTTCCCTACCGAGGGAGTTTCTCTCCCGCACACACACACGCACACACACACACATTGCCATTTCGATATATAAATAAAATGACAATTAGTTGTGCAGCCCTTATATTATTGACACTAAAGGAACTGTTTCGTAGTGTCAGTTTAATGATTTCAATTGACTTACTACATGTCTTTCCTGATTTTTCCAGGCATACCGGTGGTGTATAGAGGCCATGAAGGAAATCACTCCAGGGCTGCCTGTCAAAGTAGTGGTTGATGTCCTCCGGCAAGCTTCTAAGGTTTGTTGTGTTTGTTTAGATTACAAGTTTCTATTGAGTTAGTATTTGGGTTGCTGTGTTTTTGCAGAGAGCAGCTTTCTTCATAGTGTAACGTTTGTCTTTCCGCTGCAGGCCTGTGTGGTGAAGAGAGAGTTCAGGAAAGCCGAGCAGCTGATCAAACATGCAGTGTTTCTAGCGAGGTAACCTGCTGCGTCCTCTAAAGCCTAAACATTATTATTTTCATTTGTTATCATTGATCCTGACTGAATGTTTTGTGTCCTGCAGAGAACATTTTGGCCACAAGCACCCCAAATACTCCGACACGCTTCTAGATTACGGATTTTACTTATTAAACGTAGACAACATATGCCAATCAGTTGCTATATACCAGGTACGTGGGAGGATTAGCAACATGAATGTGTGCATGTTTGCGTGTTATCTATGTTTAATAAATGCCCTTTCTTTTTGTGCAAATCCCAGACGGCGCTGGACATCCGACAGTCTGTGTTCGGGGGGAAGAACATCCACGTTGCCACCGCCCATGAAGACCTTGCCTACTCCTCATATGTGCACCAGTATAGCTCTGGGAAATTTGACAACGCACTGTGAGTACAATAAATCTTACAATAAATCTTACAATAAATCTTACAATCTCACAACTGTTTCTAAGCCAGCTCATTACATTATACATTAGCTCCCTTAGAAATGTAGCACTTGGGTATTACACATACTGTGCTGCTCTGTTTTAAACTCACTGTACGCTATGTATGTTGTGTTGCTTCGTGCTTTGGCAAGTGCCCTCATTGTGTATATCAAAAAGCAATGATCATTTGAATGTGGGGTGTAACAAAGCAGGGTTTCCGTTAGCCGGTAATTACCGGTTTTTAGCTGGTGAAATGTATTAAAAACCGGTAAATTCAAAATGTCCGGTAATAATTAGGGATGTTCCGATCGATTGGCCGCCGATCATTATCGGCCGATATTCACTCTTAATAGTTTGATCGGTGCTCTCTATAAAGGCCGATCAGGAGAGCTGGATCTGATCGATATGGACATAAACGCGAGTGAAGTGTAACCAGACGAGAGAGAGATCAGATCAGCTGCTGCATAACCACCTGAAGCCCCGCCCACTGTTTAGCGCGTTGCATGAGAAACTGATGGTCTGTCAGGAGAGAGAGGGAGGGAGAGAGGAAAAGAGAGGGTCCGTTTCTCCCGTGTTATTAATTATTCAAAGTTAATGTTTAGTTTGTTTGAATGTAGGCCTAATAATGATGTTGTTCGTGGAATCATTTATTGAAAAATGAATCTGAACTTTTCGATCTGTTACGATTTTATAAACTGAAGCAATATAAAAATGACTCCCATTAACTGAGTTTTAAACATCAGCATATCCGGTCCTAGTCCAGTAATTACCTGCCAACGGAAACT